TAAGGTTTAATAATTTGCAAATTCTTGATCAACCAAACGATTTTACACAATATAACATTGTGATGATATCATTCAGCCTACACTATCCAACTCAATATCGACATCTTTATGCAATGTGCAGTTAACACATATTAGCTGATTTCTATTAAGGGTACTGATCAGATAAGTATTTGATAAAGAAATTCATCGGGACCCTACACTTAATGTTGACCCCAAAAACAAAAGAGGTCATTTGGTTGTGACATGCAATGTTTCTCGCTAACTAAAGCAACAAGGCTTATGTTTTTTCCTGAAGAAATGTTTTATGTTTTTTCCTTTTCGTTGAACAAGGGCAACACAAGTTCAACAATGACTTTGTCCAATAACTTATATACTGAAAACCATCTCCAGATCTCCAGGCCGTTGGCAATGTTCGTACGAAATGTTAACAAAACCTTAGGCTTATTTCTTCTTAAAGGAACTTTATACCTTACACACGAAGACTGTTTTACATTCTCAGAACGAAAATATCTATTTTATAATGCTAAAATTCTGATAAAAGAGCATGTTCGGTGCTTGTTACCGCACGAAAGTAGCACTAAAGTTGTAATTGTTTATCATAAAAGTCGTATTTTGACTTTTATACAAAATACTCAATCACCTTAACTGTACTCATTGTCAAAAGCAACAGCAGACAAAATAGTTCAGGTAAATGACAAATGAGTAACTGTTTAGATACTATAAAAGTAAACCAAATATAAAACCTTTTGAGAAATAAAAATAACAGTATTTTTGGGCACAATGGGCCTTTGAACATAATAAGTGAGCAATCGGACAAAGAATTTACACACACTGTCAATGCGATTTTGATTGTTGTCCAAGTGTCATATAAACAACATTTGGGTCATAAATATGTATATGGGCTTATTCTTTTTTTAATTAATTTGATCTAACAAGGAAAACAGAACGTACGTATACAAGAAAGACTGGCATGCACCCATATGCTATCCACTTTTTATGTAAGCATAACAACACGCCTGGCAAACTGTCGCTCCACTTCAAAAAATGCGGTGTACAGAAAAATGTTCTAGATGGAGCGGAAGGCCGATCCAAATGGCTAAATGTAAGTATTACTTTATGTTTTTATCTTGTAATTCATTTAAGATTTTCGAAAACCGAAAATGTAGTTTCGTGTAGGATTGTTTAAGGCGTTCAATGATCTAAGCTGTTTCAAAGAGAAAATAATATATTAAACCCGGGGGAACCTGTTTCCCCAGACAAATTGAACGACGATTTGTAGAATATTGAGTTTCCAAACCATTAAAATGCCCTCCTCTTCGGAATTATTTTAAAAAAGCGTATAAGAAAAATATCAACTCGTTTTAAGAACTTGTCTTTCATGCAACATACATTACTCCTGGTGGGTTTCTTAGTTTTGTATATCAAAATGTTTTGAAAGTAGTGGAGCCAAAGGGCAAGTCATGGAGCGAAAGGTTCGACGTTGAGCGCAATGCCATATTAATTTGCGTATAAGGAGGAGCGCAGTCTAAGATACAGAAGTTAAAAAAAGACATGATCAAGTGTTAAGACCGAGATATACATATCTGTAAAATAGTGTTTGTGTATTCACAGTGTCTCTATGAAAAATACATCTTTAATAAATTACAAGACATAAACATTAACAATACAAAAAAATGTACTTACAATTAGCCGTTTAAATCGTTCGATCTCGAAAATGCCGTTCGCTCGTTTTTTCGTACACCACAATTTTAAGTGGAGTGACCGTTTATCAAATGAATGTGAAAGCCTCGGAAGTGAGCATTTTCTATAAAATATTTTAAAGATGAATATCTTACTTTTATTAGTATAGTTTTAATTAATAAAGCACGAAGTGTAGTTTCCCTTGTAAAATACTAAACAGTAATTTACCTTAGCAGACTGAGGTCCGGTAGCAGATTGACGCCTCTGAATTAGAATTGTTTTATCGCCTCTCTTATAAGATAGATTTGCATTTATTGCATCGACACTTCCCTATGGTCAAATTGACATTACATAATTATTTTGAAAGTATGTTATCAACCATAAAAAGAGTTAAAAAGATTAAATTACCTACATAAAGATCATTTGCAAATTTTTAAACATTATATAAAACTTCAGTCCACATCGTGTTATAAAGGTTAATAAATAAATTTAGGCCTACAAAAATAAATAGGTTGAGTTTTTAATTATATTATTTTGTAAAATTTTCTCAAGAACATCAAATTAATGATCACATAAATGGAAGTATCATAAAAGTAGAAGTTACAACCGCCTTGAAATCTATAACTTATTAGAGATAAAAAGAGATATGATAAGAAATTTGATGATACAAGATAAAAAACTATATTTACGTCGTCATCATCATTTTCTTCGTCCTCGCTCTGTAATGAATTATTTTTTGATTAATGTGACAGTTAACAATAAGTATCAAAGAGTGTAAGTGTTTATCTATATAAAACATGTTTAATAATAATTCTTCTAAGGGTATAGATTCAATGTGAAAACAAATAATACTTTGAGCATTTGCTTCAATTTCCTTTGTTCATTACATTTTTTATTGTCAAAAGACGTTAGATGTATGTTGTATACTAATAGATTATGTGCAGATGACGTAAAATAATTGAACCATTTCTTCCTCTTTGAAATTTTAAAAGTAAATAATATCAATATTCAGAGAGACAAGTGTTACAAATCGTCATTTGATCAGCAAAAAAGCTCTATAGCATATAGCTTTTATACAACAAGACTCGTTCATTTTAAAGAAATTAAGTTTGAGTTTCGCCAAAAACGTGCGCAAGATTACATAAGTGATACATGAACAAAACTCTTTTTTTTACAACAAGTTATCATTTTATATATGATAGAAGAATTACAACAATAATAACCTAAGAATTAAAGTTTTGTTCAGTTTTACCTCATTTGAATCATAAATAGTAACATATCTGCAGAAAATAGCCATTTTCATGCAACTGTTCCACGTGGCATCATAATATATCCTTCCTTTCATTACTTTTGCTAATTGCACTATTTCATCTGGGTCGAATGGGCTATATAAAAATAAGAGTAAATGTTTGAAAGACTTGCCAATATTCGAAAATTATTTTGTGATTTTGTTTCGCATGAAGTTAATCTTTGCAAATTATTTCTTAAATAAGACAAAATACTCGTAAAGAGACTTCTACATTTTTCAAATATGTAAGGAAAGGCAATTATAACTAGCTGAAACTCTGCACGCTTAAAGAACATTAAAAATGAAACATCTCACTTTATGAGTTAAGTGCGCCCTAATGTTAGTTTTAAGCATATTAAGATCATTTTCCAGAAGAGATAACTCAATTTGAAATATAAGGATAGCTTATTGTATTTCACATTATTTTGATTTCTTTTTTAGTCAATAAGCGAAGTTAAAAACAATTCTATTTAAAAAGGATGTTTTGCTATGATTCAGTGACTTCACATTTTGCTATTTTCTACCAAAAACACATATTAACATATAAATCAGTTTGCGTTAACTCCTGTAAAATAAAATAATGTAATTAAGAATCTTAGCAAATTTATCACTTAAACAAGGACTTAAAGTTGATCATGTTTAAAGTACTCTACCGGAAGGTAAAAAGTACAAAGGAATAAATGCACCTTACATCATCCCTTCCTGATGGTCGAATAAGTTACTCTCATATGTATCAAATGTTTCAGCCACAACAAAGAAATCCTCTTCTTTAACATATGCTTTTGTATATTTCTTATCGGCGACAGTGAATAAAGCTTCATTTTGATCACTTAAGTCATTTAAAATGTCTTCTTCCTTCCCAGTAAGGTGAACCACCTTTTTATTTCCTTTAAAAGAAATATTAAAAATTGAATTTCAGATTTAATCCTAAATAGTATAGAAAATTATATATTTTATAACAAAATATTAGATTAATTTCAACTAAATCATACACGGATACAAAATGAATGATAAGGTATTTTGTTCATTAACAATTAAATCGTTAATTAAAGGCACATGAAATTGTACCGATAATTGTTGGTAGGAGACTGTCAGGAGAATGACTGCCTTGATGTTATGTAATCTAAGGAAAGATTTAGTAATAAAACTTTTACCAATTATCAAAATATGGAGGCTGGGCAGCACCGACTGACTTAAAATTGGAATACTCTCAATTGGAAAACTAGCTAATAAATTGTTAAGTTAACACTATTTTTTAGGTATTTTTTTATCGTTTTTCTATCTCAAATCCATATATACATAAATACAACAAACTTTCATCATTATTTACAACCAAAACAAACACATCAGTTATGGCATTTATACAAAATATCTTTTCAAGTATATGCCTTTTATACGAACCAATACTATAGACACCTGAACCAAAATCTTAACAACTTACAATTAAACAAAACAATAAAATCGTCACCAAATTTAAGAACACAAAATGAATTATTTTTACAAATCTAGGATACAATATAAACCACAAACATTCAATCAACAATATTAACTTCACAAAAATCTATTCAGCATCATAAAACCATTTAAACTAAACACTTAATATTAACAGATATATTAAAAAAAACAAAGCATCATCTATGATGATCTTGACAAGAAAAAATCAATCAATACAACTCAACCAATCTCAACCAAAAATATCTTACATACAGATATAACTCAACAATCAAATATAATGCAACAACCAAAAATAACTAATTATAACCAATGAACGCTGATCAATTAAGATCACCACAATTAAATTCAACCAACTTCAACAGATCAACAAAACTCCCTTCGAAACAACAATATTATCTTCTCTAAAAATATACATACACACTACAAGTGTGCTTGTAAATTTCATCCAAAACTCGCATGATAATAAACATTCGCTAGCTTAAGTATTTGACATTTACATGTAGACAAAGTTTTTACGCACATTAACAGGTTAACATTCATTGAAACATGTTATCTATACTACATCTTAAGCAATGTATCGCTGCAGAAAACAAATTAAACTGATAAAACTGTATGATTATTCGGACGGAAGTTGAATAATGGAATCCTTTCGATTTTTGTTGGTAAAGGAAACTTATGGAAGCGGAAATATGTAATTCTGTTAAAGCTATTTAATATTTTTCAATTTCTAATTATCTTTTGTCTCATTTTAACAACAGAGTAAAGCTTCGCGTGTATACTTTTCCAATCAATCGTAAATCTTTAATTTTATCTTTTTGGAGAAGTTATCTTACATGTAATGTTTAATTCTTAATTGTAAAGATTACTATGAGTAGTATCCATGTTCATACCAACATAGATTCCCCAATGAGTGGCAGTTTTACAGTCAAATGATATCATATCACCCGCCTCAAGTGAATTAAGGAACAATCGTGCATTGTGTTGGACATCCATTTCTTCGGATGACTTCAGATTGATTTATATTCTGCTCAAACACTTCTTTCTATAAAATCAATAAACACAAATTATTTGGAGTCAATACAGAAAAGACTGAATATGTCATCAATCTTTAGAAGAAATATGTAAGGAAATTATACTTTATTTAAAGCAAATACATATGCACTTGTTGTTAAATATCAGAAATTGGGAAGCGCTGTAACACATAAAGCTTCCCGAGAGCTACGTGCAGACATTATTTGTCCACAGATCGCATCACGAAAATACAATAAATTAAGGATATTGAATGAGTGTAGATTTAATACTAAATTTATTAAATGAGTTGATTTAAAACGTATCATGTGAACCTCTGGGAGCAAACTATTGTTTTATTCGACGATATAAATAAATTTAGTATTGATTCTACACGAATAGAATTTATCACATATTCGAATTAAGATCGGTTGACAGTAAAAAAGAGTTTATTGACGCGCCTATAGTATAACGTTAACATTAGCGCATTTTAATGCTATGTTTGCATATAACGCAAATGATGACATGTCGCTATTATTAACCCTTTCACTGCCATCCCTGTTATTTTCGGCGTATTTGCCATATGGACGGCTTCAGCTGTTTCTATAATAATAATAATAATGATAATAATAATAATAAATTTATAATAATAATAATAATAACAAAAATATAAAGAACATTATACCATCGACAATAATTATCATTATACTAGTCTAACAGATTTGGAAACATATATAATTATTATAATACTAATAAAAATAATTACAATTATATTAATTAATAATATAGTAATCTCTTAGAAAAGCCTCTGGCAGATAGGTGATCAATAAAACAAAAACCCTCTGGCAGCGAAATTAATATTTTTAGTGATTAACAAACAGTAAAAACGAAATAAAGAAAAAGAATACATTCCCCCTATATGTTCTACTCAGTCGACTTGCGTCACCTTCTGTTCGTTATTTATCAAATAATACTGTGAATAAAGAATAGACAGTGATGCAAAACATAAACGGTTTAGTATGATATGGTGCAATCATTTTTTTTTATTTACGTTTGTATTTGGTAAGGAACGATACACCTGAAACACAACCCCAGTAAAATTTAATATTATACTTAAGTTTAAATCATTATTGTTATTAATGAACATTAATTGGACTAAATTCATGGAATTTTCATTAATATCCTTCAACTGGATTTGAGACATTTTCCATTTTTGTCAAATCTTAATGAAAATTAACTTAGCTAATAGATGATAAAAAGATGATGAATTAAAACATATAGTTAAGACAGTCATTTCACTTAAATGTATTTCATTAAATTATTCTTTGATATTTCAATTTAAGTATAAAACTAACCGTTAAATTTCAAAACTTTGTTTTTAAAATAACCCCAACTACAAGACAATTGACCATAAACGCTCCTACAAGAAATAATCGTTAATCCAAATAACGAGACAATTGGTAAAAACTTACCTTCAGTTTATTTGTTTTGTTGAATTCTAAGTCACCACGGCACAGTAAAGATCCTACACTGACTTTCCAGCATAAGTGTTGGAAGAAGATCTCTAAAATTACGTTCCCAGTCACGAGACAATCAGGTGAAAAACAGATAACAAACGAAATTCAATAATGATTAGTAAAAAACAATCGCCTTGTATTTTATTAGTTTCTCATTCTGAAAATTACTTATGACCTGTACTATTCGAGATTTAGAAAAATATATTTAGAATGCCATTTGACTGTGATACAATTTTACATCTGCTTACTTTCAAAAGCAAGACGAATTATTCAGTTTTGCTATGCGAAAGAATGTTAATAGAATATGCAATTTGATATAAGGAAAACAATGTGATACCCAAAAAGGTATAAAGTGTGTACATTGTAACCCCAAAAAGTATATCAATGAGATACTTTTGTACTATATACTTCAAAATAATTCGATACACTTTTCAAGGACGTAAATAGCTTTTCGTTTGATTCAGAAATTGAAAAATCATGTGTATGTAGATTTTTTTTAAATTCTAGGTCAGTTTTATTTTTGCATTTCAAAGAAAAGATCTAAATATAGAACAATTTCTTTGATTGAGATCTGATACGTTTTACATACCTTTTGTCAACCATAAGTATCTTTATATTAGCATGTACTGCTTTTTGAAGAATTCTAAAAATACCCATTTCCCAAAATTGTACGACACTGCATTCTTGTAATTAAACAGGTGACTGTCTTTGTTGGGTTGCATATGGTCTATTTATTTTGACAGTTTATCGTCCACAAACATAAACACTTTCGTCAACTTCAACAAGAACTGACTCTGCAATAAATATTTGTTTGCGTTTATGTTCGGCTCATAGATAAGCTATAGAAGAAGGTCGCTACAGACATATAGATAGAAACAATATATCATGTGTGAAATGTAATAGGAAAGGTATTGAAAAGGAGTACCATCTGTTATTACTATGTCCATATCCTTCTGATTTAAGAGCACTTTATTTCCCAAGATACTATTATACTTGGTAAAATATCAACAAATTGAAAAGTATTATGACTTCTTCTTTGAAAGATTTAACGAAAAAATTACCTTAATATAGTCAAATATCAGTTGAAAAAAATAATTACTGTCTAGTATTCGGTTAAGGTTTATTTCTTCAAATAGTAATGATTAAAACAAAACATTGTCATTCCCTGTTACTTCTGTAATCATATAACTATGTCAAGTCCATCATAATTCTTTTCTGTAATTATTATGTATGTTTTATACATGTATATACAATGTTTATGTAAGATTATAAACCGTCTCATAATACCTGGCTATGAACGTGTAAAATGTTTATGCTGATAAAGAATAAAAACTAAATAGTTTGTATCATTAACAAAAGAATTTAATTTACCACCATGAACAGACTCAGTCATCTTTCAGGAGTCCGACGTAACAACCTCAATGGTTCGTTTTCTTTTTCGCTTAGCCAATAGAATAGCTTGGAGACCAATCAAGGCCTCTGAAACATGACCGTCAGATGACCACTTAGTAAAGCACTTTAGCAGGTGAGGCGATTTCGTTTGCTAGTATATATATATTCTACTTATGTTTGTTTCTAAATTACTGTCTTTTGCAGTATTAAACCGTGAGATACACATTCGTCTGATTTTGCTCCTGCAATTCAACAAAAAGCAATAGATTGGAGTATCATCTATTTCAAAATGGTCTAATTTCCTATCAAATCAATCAACGAAATACCTTAGAGATCAATTTTCATGGCAATACATGGCCTCAGAAACATGACCCCGCATGAGAAACGACGCATTTTAGGTGGTCCAGAGATTTCGTCTTCCATTATTTAAATGTAATTACACTATCATCCAGATCCTTCCATGAGCTACCAATTGATCCTATTGCATTGCAATTTAACATGTGCAATATATAGCACAAGGAACTATCTTAAGAAAGGCGGCCGTCATATGCTCGCGTTGCATTGGAATTGCCTTGGACTGACTTTTAATTATAATAGAAACATTAAGACATTTTATTAAATTCAAATTGTCTATATGCAACTCATTCTAGCTTAGTTTTCCCACATTTTGGCAACATAAGGCACAGGGCGCTAAGAAACATGGTCACCAGAAACCCGCTTGGCATAGACGTTTTAGCTTCAGAGGCGATATCGTTTTCTGGTATATGGATTATACGTAGTTTTGTAAGGTATACGCAATTATCAGGATTCCACTGTGAGCTAATCACTAAAGATTTAATGTTTATATTATTGATAATAAATAAATAAGACATGTTTTACGCTCATAGAAAAAAATGAATAATAGCAATGGATTTATTTTGTAGATATTAAATGTTTAAAACATTGAATACATACGATATTTTTACAACAATAAAAGAATAGAAAACATAAAAATATAACGAAATAGGATACTTTAGGAAAAAACTATTTAAAGGTAAATTGTTCAAGTGAACTTAAGTCTAGTAAACAAAAGCACTTATTATGCTAAATTGCCTTAAAGCTGCACGCCTCCAGATGAGCAAAATATTTCGATAAAATCAAATCTGAGAAAAATGTACTACGATTGTAGGAAAGGTATAAATGTAACCAAGTGCTATTTTTAAGGTTTTTGCTATTTTTTAAGAAAGGTAACTTTGTTGGCCTTGTTTAATTTTAATTTTTACTTTGTGTAATTATGTTCCCTTAACCACATTTGCTATTTGCTTAACCATAACGTTTTCCTTTTAAAGTTAGGGTTACTTAAGGTTATTTTTTGTGTTAAAAAAGTTGTTGGTTATTGTAACATAAAAATGTGTTAATTTTATATTATTAATAAAAATTTAAATTAAGAAATTGGTATTTGTATGTTTTATTTATTTGTTTTTAAAAGTTTTAATGTTAACTAAATAAAAACTTATAGTAATTAAATACAGTTGTAAATTTAATAAAAGTTATTTTAATAAATTTGTATTGTTCTTAAGTGTTAAAATTCAAAATGGCAGCATATGTTCTTATCTTATAGTTATTCCTAAAAATCACTGTTTCTATTTGTATTGCACTAATGTTTGTAAATTACAGTTTACAGCATAATTAACAGCAAAGTAAAACAGGTGTAAGTAACAAAGGTACATGTATATTTACAAAGTCTAATCCACAATTGGTATGTTATATTTATATGTCATTGTTTATATATTTTTAAAGCTACATGTATATTTTTAAGTTAAGCATATATTGTATATTGTTTTATAAGTAAATAATTAAGTGGTCACTAAATGCAGGTACAATATAATGTAATACATTTAAATATGTATTTTATGTGTACATAATTTATTTACATAAAATAAAATAAATGGTCTATCCATATAAACTAATCTGTTAATAAAATATTAAATTAAGTATATTTAAGGTACTGTAGTGTATACAAATGTATAAAACTATATATTTCATAATAGTATGAAATGTTTGTGTTTATACTTTCAGGGCTTGGTAAATGTGCCATAAATGTAATGTAAATGTAATGTAAATGTAATGTGTATGTTGTA